ATGTGAATATGTTCCTGATAAGTCTCAATATTAATTCGCTTTCGCGTTGGCATTCATGTCGGTGTAAAATTATTTTTCAGATATCAAGATATATGATATGAGAGTCGAAATCCAAGGTTCCTTTTTGAAGATTCAGAATTCATTTAATTTCAATCAATCAAACAATATAATAATATACATACATATATATTGTATATTGCAATTTCAAGCCTCTACGAAGGACAGACAGAGACTGCCCACCCGCATAGGCAGATTACATAATGCACAACTCCATATGTGGAATGGGATATTCCAATCTTCCACTGGAAGGGGTATTGATCGCATACGCGCTACGTTCTATTTGCTCGTTCCACATTTCTTACTGCTATGCGAAGGCAGTCAAAAAATCACTCTCCCTCTCTCTCTTAGTGCGTGTATCTTAGTACGCGCGTGTGTGTGTGTCTGCACGCGTACGTGATTTGGTGTCCACTCCACTCGATTGGCGTCGTTTCGTGCATTTGAAATAGTTCAACACCTTTTGTACGACACACGAATTATGTCGTTTGCCAGTTTTTGGGCATTGAACTTTTTGGGTTTCAGTTTTTTAATGCTTGACATGATCATGAGCAATCGGAATCTGCCAAAATTAAAACAAGTAAGAGGGCTCTAGTCGAGACTGATCGACTAGGAGATGCCCTGAATTCTGCCAGCTGATATGCTACTCATTCTGCACTTCTTATTGGTGGCACTATCTTCTCGGAACGTGATCATAATGTTCAAATGTGTGTATATTATAATGCTCAAGTCTCTAGTACTTGAATTACTTCAAGTTCTCTACTACATGTGACTAAGGAGCATGGATTTCAAAATCTGTCAATTGCAAAAGCTGAGTGCTCATCACATGTATATACACAGTAAATCAGAAGTAAGCTTGTCGAAAATATATCGAAATATTGATATTTTTTGATTCGAAGTTATATTTATATCGGGATATTGTTTTTTTTTGGCCAAATATCGAATATTTTTTGCGGTTTTTATACTGAAAATGGGAAATCAGGGTATAATGGTTTGTTAAAAGTATGTAACAGGCAGAAAGAGTCGTGGCAGAACCCACAAAGTATATATATTCTTGATCAGAGCGACGAGCTGAGTCGATTTGGCCCTATCCGTCCGTCCGTCCGTATGTATGAACGCGTCAGAAGATATAAGAAACTTGAAGTTTGTTCCTAGGTTCGTATATATAACGCGCCCTATATTCACCCCCTCACTCTCACCTTTGTAAAAAGCGTATTTCAAATACTAGAGACTTATGCTTTGGCAAATGCATGCATATCCATGTTATAATCATAATCTGAAAGTTTCATGAAGAAGGTGCATCCACAAGAAAAGTTATTGAACAATTAAGTTCCCATAGTAAGCAACCACTGCAGCCAATGCGTGTTCATGCGTGCGTAGGTATGGCTGTGTGTGTCCATATGCGAATAATTATTGAAATATCAGTCTCGACTAGAGCTTTCTTACTTGTTTACAAGTTGGGGGCGTGGTATCCACAATCTGTAAATTACAAATCGGATGAAATATCGAAATATGATAAACTTGTACTGCGTATACCACGAGTATTAATGCCAAATTTCAAGTCTCTAGATAATATAACTTCTGAGATCTAGGTGTTCATGCGGAAGGACAGGGCTATATAAACATAGCTTATCGTCCTGATCAAGAATATATTTAATGGGGTGTGCGATGATTCCTTCTGCCTGTTACATACTTTTCACAAAACCAATCAGGGTATACCTGATTTACCATTGAAAATGGGTTCAGGGTATTATAAGAATCACAGAGAGAGAGAGAGAGAGAGAGAGAGAGAGAGAGAGAGAGAGAGAGCGGGATACGTATGATGATGGTGTTTCTTGCTTTTACACTATACTCTATATAGAGGCTCCATAAAATCAAGTCAACTTTGTTGAATAGTGCAACAGATGCTTAAGCACATGTGTCAGGTCAAAGGACCAAAGGAACAGGACGAGAGTGTGAGTGTTATATGCTAGTATAACAGATTTCTGCCTCTAACGCTCTCCACACTAGTCACACTAGTGCCAAAACTGTTGTAGAATAGTGTAATTTATCTCTTAGCACACGACGGCGAGAAACACCTACGCCTACATACATATAT